AGCCCTAAACGGCCTTGGTCCAGTATATCTGAAGGAGCGTCTCCACCCCCATCGTTCTACCTGGACACTGAGGTCCAGCACCGAGGGACTTCTGGCGGTTCCCTCACTGCGAGAAGCCAAGTTACAGGGAACCAGGCAGAGGGCCTTCTCGGTAGTGGCGCCTTCCCTGTGGAACACCCTCACACCAGATGTCAAAGAGAACAACTACCAGGCTTTTAGAAGACATCTGAAGGCAGCCCTGTTTCGGGAAGCTTTTAATGTTTGATGTATTATAGTATTTTAATATTCTTTTGGAAGCCGCCCAGAGTGGCTGGGGAAGCCCAGCCAGATGGGCGGGGTATAAATAAATTATTATTATTATTATTATTATTATTATTATTATTATTCATAGAATCACATTATAACATCTCAATTCTCCGATGGCTAAACATGTCTTTCAAAATAATAATAAAGAAAACAAAAACAATTTTTTTTTTGCTTAATCGCTTGATTCATTCGTACTCCTTTTATACTTGACTTCCCTCCCCTTCTTACTTGGGTCCTCAGTTTTACTTATTTGAATGCCTCTCTTAACACGTTAAAACTTTTCCTGTTTTTCCACTATATTTTAGTATTTTTTTCTTACAGAAGCTATTCCAAACCAGTCAAAATTTCAATTTCCCCATAACCGTCTTTCAAATATTGTTTGAATATGTTCCAATCTTTTTAAAATTTTTGTTTTGTTTGATCGCCCAGTCAACTTGTCCATCTCCACGTACTCCATTAATTTGGTCAACCAATCTTTTTTGGTCGGTAAACATTCCCTTTTCTAGTTCTGTGCAATCACAACTCTTGCTGCGGTGGTGGCGTACATGAATACTTTCTTTAAATCTTTTGGAATCTCATTTCCCACAATCCCCAATAGGAATGCTTCTGGTTTGGGGGGGGGGGAATTAAACCACTGACTAATCCTAAAGAGGACCTGTTCTCTTATCATATGGCTGCTAAATGTATTCCAGAGACTTAGGTGATTTAATTTGCATGCAGCATTCTGAAAATCCAAAATCTTAACCATTGTTTGCTTTTTAATTTTGATGCACACCGCTGAGAAACTTCAGTCATTAAGCAGCATATAAATAGATTAAATAAATAAATATGCAATAGCTGTGTTCCTATTAAACAAGTAGCCTTGCTTTATTCAGCTCAAATGCTCCCTCCTATCTCCTCTCACATTGCTAGGTCAATGTTGGAAGTTATCTCTTTCAGTTTCCTGCTTTGTCTGAACCTCGGATTGTGGTTTAACACTAACTAAGGCCAATTTCAAAGCCAGCCAACTTCAAACAATAGCCATAGTTAGCATAGTTAAACCGCATTACCTAATTCAGACAAAATAAGAAGCCACAGTTTGCTAAAAACTGAAAGCAAACCTTCTGAATTCTTTTTGAGATGAAGAGAAGGGGAGCCCACAATCTTGTGGCTCACTGTGGTTCTTGTAGACCATAGTTTCTTGTTGCATGCACATATAACCATTGTCTACTGAATCATTTTTGTTTGTTTGTTGAAACGCTCAAAGAATTCTTAAAAGTTAGTGAAGCAGGACTTCCATTACTTTTATTATTTAATTTGTTATTTATATAATTCCCATTAAAAAAAATGAAACATGTGAAAACAGTTCTGGAGGCGGCACAGACCCTGCAAACAAATTCTCCTAACGGACTAAGTCTGCTAAAATTGTACGCACATTTGAATAAATGCAATTAACCTTTTATTTTGTTGCCATAAACAGGATGGATGGCTTTCCACCAAGCAGCCAGCCCTCAAGGAACACAATGATTTTGAATAATTGTTTTTAAAAATCTGTACAGCTTCATTCTGTTATATAGAGAATCCCTGGGAGATCATCTCATCACCTCCATGTTCTAAGATGACCTTTAAGATAGACACAGGATAAATACGCCACCTTCGCACCAAATCAAGTGCGAGGGTGCGCAGACAGTAGGACTGTGCAAACGTGCCTCAATCCATTTTGAGATTAATTCACACTTTCATCCAGTATTTTCTGTTCAGCTGCAGTTGGTTTATTTTGCTGCTGCAGATATAAACTACTTTTTTTACATATATCATAGCAAACTGACTTCCAATGTTGACGGATATGGTAGATTAATTAGTTTACCATTACCCATCTTTAGGAGGGAGAGGTTGTAAGTCCAATACAGAAATAAATAAAACCCAGGGCATAGTCATGCCGTCAGGCACTATGACAACAGGATGCCGGACTAAATTAAGTTTTGGCTTTATCCAGCAGAGCTCTCCTTATGTTCTTATGGTGATCATTTGCACTTGGTACATAGTTTCCTTAACTATTTTCCAGTTATTATTTCAAAGGTTGTTGTTTTTTGTTTTGATTTTTTAAGTCCGACTAGTGTGGTTAACATATAATTTCACTCTGTTCCTATTGAGCCCAAATACTGTATTTTTCCATTAGACCACAATCAATCCAGGCTGCAATTATCTCCATACACAACAGTTGAAGCGTATGGGGTTTCTTTTCCAAGAATTCATTGTTTTGTGATGTTGACACATAGTTGTAATTTCCAGTAAGGCCTGCACTATATCAAAATGGCTTCACTAGCCTGTCCAGCTGTGGTTGATGAAAATTACTGCAGGGCAACAGTGGTATCTGAGAAAAAGCAACAGGAACATCATTATAGTGGCCCATTTAGCAGGGTCAGGGATGCAATATCAGTATAAGTCTCTGAATGTGAAGACTGTCAGTGAATTGGATATCCTAAGGGGAAGTCTGGAAGACCTATGATATGAGCCATTTTGGCAAAGCTCTGCAGATCAGAAAATATCAGAGATCAATATTTGATGCTAAATCATCTCTTAGCTGAAGTGATCTACATGCTCACTGACATTTTCTACATACTAATATACCCTCATATCAACTAGATTATTAGTTGAGCATCTAAGCCCTTTCCGACAAGAAGTACAGTGGTACCTTGGGTTACATACGCTTCAAGTTACATACGCTTCAGGTTACAGACTCCGCTAACCCAGAAATAGTGCTTCAGGTTAAGAACTTTGCTTCAGGATGAAAACAGAAATCGTGCTCCAGCGGCGCGGCAGCAGCAGGAGGCCCCATTAGCTAAAGTGGTGCTTCAGGTTAAGAACAGTTTCAGGTTAAGTATGGACCTCAGGAACGAATTAAGTACTTAACCCGAGGTACCACTGTATAGCATACTAGGCATTTTGCCCCCCCTCATATCTCTGCCTGCAGCCATTACATTCACTCTTTTAACATATTTATTTCTTATTTATAAAATGTGTTTGTAAGCCTTCTGCAGAGCCACGCCCTCACAAAACAACATGCATAGAAAGGAAGATACAAGTTACATTAGGTAGATTGGATAGGTGTACAATTGTCAAGAGAAAACTGCTGTGAATCACATAAGGCATCAACACTCTTTAGGAAAGGCAAGAGTAAAGGCTTTCAAGGTGCTCTTAAAAGCCAATATATAAGGGAGGACCAAACACTAGTCATTTGGAAAGGAGTTCCATAACCATGGGGTCACTAGCAAGAAGACCCTGTATCTCATGCACACCAATCTTATCAATGAACATGCAAATTAGATGTCCAGAGCAGGCACCTCACCTTGGACTTCTAATCTGTTGTGAGGCAGTAGGTCTGCAATCTGGTAAGAATGTACCTATTGCTTGGCCCTATTTATAAATAAGCCAAATATTTTAAAATGCCCTAAGTCTCCAGCGATTTCTCTTTCAAAGGAAAGCAAAACCCAGTTGGTGCTGTCCCTGAAATTTTCCCAACATGGAACCATATTAATACACAGACACACACACCACACGTTCACCAATGACATCCCCTCCAGGCAAGAGATGGTGGGGGGAGACCTGCCTACTTAAGCCCATCTTCTGGAAACATCTCCAGTTAGTATCTTCTGTGATAACTAGTCACCTGTACCAGTCACCAGTGTGGTGTAGTGGTTAAGAGCGGTAGACTCGTAATCTGGGGAACCGGGTTTGCGTCTCCGCTCCTCCACATGCAGCTGCTGGGTGACCTTGGGCTAGTCACACTTCTCCGAAGTCTTTCAGCCCCACTCACTTCACAGAGTGTTTGTTGTGGGGGAGGAAGGGAAGGGAGAATGTTAGCCGCTTGGAGACTCCTTCGGGTAGTGATAAAACGGGATATCAAATCCAAACTCTTCTTAATCAAAGAAATACTTTGATTGAATCATTGGTTGACATGGCTCGACCACATAAGAAGTCTCTACAGAATCCCATCTTACAAACACAAACTAATAATAATAATAATAATAATAATAATAATAATAATAATAATAATTTATTTATACCCTGCCCCAGCCACTCTGGGTGATTCCCAAAAGAATATTAAAAACACAATAAAACACCAAACTTTAAAAACTTCCCTAAACAGGGCTGTCTTCAAATGTCTTCTAAAAGTCATATAGTTGTTTATTTCCATCTGATGCGAGAGCGTTCCACAGGGCTGGCACCACTACCGAGAAGGCCCTCTGCCTGGTTCCCTGCAACCTCACTTCTCGCAGTGAGGGAATTGCCAGAAGGTCCTTGGCGCTGGACCTCAGTTGGCTGAGCGATGGCTGAGCGATGGGGGTGAAGACGCTCCTTCAGGTATACTGGGCCAAGGCAGTTTAGGGCTTTGAATTGTGCTCAGAAACGTAATGGGAGTCAATGATAAGCTTGGAGAGGACCCAAAGATATCCTCTGGCTACCCACTCCAACCTACCTAATCCTGTAACAATGTTTTTACGTTGGCATCCAAATGTGACCACAAAATAGCTGGGATCCAAAGGACCACTTTTCAGCCAGTTTCTTCCTCTTTCCCCATAAAGCTGCTCCTGTGGCTTAGAAAAGGGGATCGGAAAACTCCCATGCCCAAAAACAAAAGGGTCTTGGCTAGCATGTCCTAAGAATCAGTTCCGAATGTCTGCTGCTACAATCCAAGTAAAATGATTGCTCACCTTATTCGTTTCAAGGAGTAACAGTCCAGGACACTGAAAAGAGAAGAGGGAATCACTAACTCACTCATTCTGCTCAAGAATTAATGCAAGCTAAAAATGCTTTTGTAAGCTTAAAACGAAACCAATTTTATTTTCTTTAAGATCATGCATTCGCCAAACGAAAACATAAATCTGATGTAATAACCTACCACAGAAACTTGACACATTTCCCTGTTACCAGATGCAAAACTGAGGAGATCTAAGAATAAAATGCTTGTCTTCAAAGTCTTATAATTTTAAACACTGTTATTTGTCTAGTTCCCATTGAACATACGCCTGCTTAACAGAAGAGGTTTAACTGAAAGCTAAGTTAAACTGTATTGGATACAATAGTGGCAATCATATGTAAAACTCATTCCTTGTTAATCAAACAATTAAGTAATTCGGAATCCAAACATCAAGAACACACACCTTAGGTTTCTACAGGATTGTGTATTGTAAGTAGCCTACACATTTTTTACACTCACCACTTCTACCAATTATAATGTTCAAACACAGCATCACATTTTGAGATGGTATCTATTTTAAAATAAGTGTAATGAAGCCGGGGGAGTTTAAGAAGCTTACTGAACACCCTGGACAAGACAACTCCATTCCACATTAGTTATATTCTCACAAGGAAGGGACACGGGTGGCGCTGTGGTCTAAACCACTGAGCTTCTTGGGCTTGCCGATCGGAAGGTTGGTGGCTCGAATCCGCACAACGGAGTGAGCTCCCGTTGCTCGGTCCCAGCTTCTGCCAACCTAGCAGTTCGAAAGCACATAAAAGTGCAAGTAGATAAATAGGGACCGCTGTGGTGGGAAGGTAAACGGCATTTCCGTGCACTATGGCACGATGTCCCATTGCGCCAGAAGTGGTTTAGTCCTGCTGGCCACATGACCTGGAAAGCTGTCTGTGGACAAATGCCAGCTCCCTCGGCCTGAAAAGTGAGATGAGCGCCTCACCCCATAGTCGCCTTTGACTGGACTTAACTGTCCAGGGGTCCTTTACCTTTACCTTACTTTCACAAGTGTCAAAGAATTGAAAAGTCAACTGCTCTTTGTCTCCACTACGTTACCCATACTAAGGCAGGGTATTCACCTAATAAGTCCTACGGTGAAATAACAGTCCACTGGGAGAGGAAAGAGGAGACCATTCTGTATAGTAAGCTGAAATGTTTTTGCAGGCAGACTGATCAGAAGAGCATGACATCCATTTAAAGCACATTCCCCAAGCACCAATGAATCTTGGGATCTGGGAGCTAGGAATTGTAGCTCTGTGAGGGATTAACTACAGTTCCCAGGATTCTTGCAGAGGGAATGGGTTTTAAAGCTATGTTGCGTACACAACGTAAGAAGAATTAAAACAAAAGAACTAGACTTTAAGGCTCTACAGCAGACAGGATTTACAAGCAGTACAAAATAATAGTTTTAACTTAGGTTAGTTTAATGGCAAAGAATCTAATCAACTGTTAAGGAAACTTAGCTGACCCTCCTTTGGAGAAAAAAATAATAATTCAGGAGCAGGTAGCTAAAATGGTGGAATCTCTATATTGTTACTCTATGCAAGGTTTCCCAAACTTGGCTTGCCATCTGTTTTTGGACTACTACAACTCCCATCATTCCAGTGGTCAGGGATGATAGGAACTGTAGTCGAAAAACAGCAATAAACCTAAGTTTGGGGAACTCTGCTCTATTGTATTGCCCTATTAGTCTGGCTCTGAATAAGTCAACCCTAAAAGAGAGGCAAAAGATAGAAAAACATGACTTGAAACTGGATGCAGAATTCTGCTCAAGTTATTACTGGCTGCAAACTAGAAAAGCAGTCAATCTGAATTATTAGCAATGGGAAAGTTGGTACATTAAGTTCTATTCATTTCAAACTTTTTTTAAAAAAATGACCATTTAATATGGTGACATTTACCCGAGACACAGCTGTTCACTTAGCTTTGGCTACTTAATACATAGATGTCAATGCTAGAGGCAAGCTCAAAGCTTCCACGGAAATGGGGGAGGACCATTTTGATACAGATTCATTTCTTTCCTGCAATGCAGTGCTTAATTTTGCCAATTAGAAAGCCTGGGGTTAAAGCGTGGTTTAAATCACACATGCTCCCAATTGTTGGCTACATGAAGACAGGTTGTACTACTCAGCAGTGGCGGGGAAACGCAACCTGCAAAAGAAGACTCAAAAAAGTTGGCACAGGTGAGTTAGGAGCAAGCAAATCCCCGCTTCAAATCTAACTTCAGTCTGGAACTCACCGGGTCAGGGGTCACCAAACCAGCACCCATAAAGGCTTTGTGACTTTGACCCAGTATACCTGAAGGAGCGTCTCCACCCTCATCTTTCAGACACTGAGGTCCAGCTCCGAGGGCCTTCTGGCAGTTCCCTCACTGCGAGAAGAGGGCCTTCTCAGTAGTGGCGCCCGCCCTGTGGAACGCCCTCCCATCAGATGTCAAGGAAATAAACAACTATCTGACTTTTAGAAGGACATCTGAAGGCAGCCATGTTTAGGGAAGTTTTTAATGTTTGATGTTTTATCGTATTTTTAATACAGTGGTACCTCGGGTTATAGATGCTTCAGTTACAGACGCTTCAGGTTGCAGACTCCACTACCCTGGAAGTAGTACCTCGGGTTAAGAACTTTGCTTCAGGATGAGAACAGAAATCGCGTGGCGGCGGCGCAGTGGCAGCGGGAGGCCCCATTAGCTAAAGTGGTACCTCAGGTTAAGAACAGTTTCAGGTTAAGAACGGACCTCCAGAACAAATTAAGTTATTAACCCGAGGCACTACTGTATTCTGTTGGGAACAGCCCAGAGTGGCTGGGGAAACCCAGCCAGATGGGTGGGGTATAATTATTATTATTATTATTATTATTATTATTATTATTAAAGGCTAATCAGCTGCAGGTGGAGCCACTTTGCCCTCTCCCCCTTCAGGCTGCTGTTCAGCAGGTGAAGCTGACCCTTGGCCCATGACAATTATACCTTGGATGCCATATATCACAATATGACTATAATAAAGTTGGGTACGCACCATACATCTGAAGCACCCCCCGCAAAAGAATCCTCGGAACGATAGCTTCTTAAGGGTGCCAAGATCTACATCTGTGGGGGGTAAACTAAAACTTCCAGATTATTTGGGTGCAATAATGCACTTTCAGTGTATAGTGGCAACACAGAGACTGAATTGATCTCCATGCCAGCCAACACTCCCAGGGAAGGGAGGGGGGCCGGGGAGAGCTCCGTTCTTTCTAGCCGATTCCAAATATAGTTAGATGACATTCATATGGCAATATACCAATAACCTATGTTTGTACTATAGAAGGTAATTATTTCCTTCTAACTATACAATTACCATCGAATAAAAATACTAGTGACCTTGATTTAAGCAACGCAGCCCTTGAATATTTCAAGATAAGCTTCCCACATCGGTAAAAGCTGAGAGGAGGGTCACAAGGGAGAAGCATTTAGCCTAAGTGCCAGCATGATTTTACAGCCCCCTTCTAAGATCCTCAAGCCTTTTTAAAGAGCTTTTGTTATTTGGAATATTTCCAGTAAGCACTAAGCATTAAAACAGCACCTGTGCAGCTGCTAAGTTGAATCACCTGTTTGTTGCCCTAGAGAATTAAAAAAACATTTAATACAATATTATAGAAAGTTGACACACAGAGAGAGAGACCAGAAGGAAAAAGAGAGGAAGCGGGGTGGGGAAGAACCTGTTTCGCACTTCTAAAAAGAATGTGTTTAATTTGCCACTGGAGGTAAAGCCCACTAACGTGGAAACTGAAAGCAGTATTCTGAACGTGAGGGAAGAGACTTTCCACACGCACCCAGGTTCAGCACCTTTCTGGCTTCCATCACCTTTCTGGCTTCCATCAGTTATGTCCTGCCTTTCTAAATGTGACTAAGGCTACGATCCAAGCTGACTGACTAGGAATAAGACCACTACATATATTAAACTCCTCTGATTAAATATTAACTCTGTTTCTCCCTTCCCTCCCTGCCTCCCACCACTTCTCTCTCTCTCTCTCTCTCTCTCTCTCTCTCTCTCTCTCACACACACACACACACACACACACACACACCCTTGACATGGCTTGTTAAGTGCCAAAAGTGGAAGCAACACAATTTGTTGCCTCCAGTTCCCCGTGTTATTTATTGCAATCCAGAGGATGCAGAGTAATTGGAAAGCTGATAAGCTCCTCCACACATACGTTAAAATGAGATTTAAGTTAGCGCTTCGAAAGAGTCCTGGGGGATTCTAAATGAAAGTTTTATAAGCACTGATATATGCACATATTATTAACTCCAGTCGTAATACCTTATTTAAACAATTAGCCTCCACTCCAAAGAATCGGCCCCACTGAAATTTTGCAGGACGGCTCCTCGGCGCCAGGTCTCATTCTCACAGCCAACCGCAGCAAAACCGGAGCCGGTTATTATTATTATTATTATTATTATTATTATTATTAATTAATTTATATACCGCCCTATACCTGGAGGTCTCAGTTAAGGGAAGGAAGCCACTTACATTCTGCTTAGTAATCCACTTCCCCAGTATTCAAGGCTGCCCCTTCCCCACTTTTTTGTGGGGGAGGGGGCAGGGAAAGGAAACAGCACTCCACAGCCATAATCAAGGAGTCTTGTCTGGTGGGAATATAATTAGAATTCCCTGCCAGAGTTTCCCCTTCTGATAAAGGTGTACTCAGCATGTGTGTATACTAAAAAATTCCACATTGCTGTTCTTGGCATTTAATTAGGGGGTAAAGTAAAACGTGCAGGACTGGAATTTTAAGTGTTGGTTTAATAACCTTTATCCAGCTCATTTCTCAATGATTTTCTTCCTCTCTGGAGAGGCTTCTAATGTCAAACTGTGGTATTAAGGTGAGTCATGGTTACTGAAGAGGCACAAGGAAAGTACATGACAGAATTTCTTAATTTTAAGATTGCTGGCGGGGTGGGGAGGGGCGTTGTGTGGAAGAAGCTGAAGTCTTCCCTTCGTTTCAGAAATA